CAGAAGAAGGCAGCGAGGGCAAGATTTCCTGTGGAAAGCAGCCTGGCCCTGTACCAGGATGAGGAAAGCTGTTGAGGAGCAATTTTCACCAGAAAGTGACAGGAACTGTGAATTGTTGCACCACCCTCTAGTGGGGTTTGAGCAGCTAGTTTGATCTCAGAGAAACTTTGGCTGAGGCCAAATCCAGCAAATTCATTGCTAGAACCAATGGTGAGGCTGGCACACAATACAGAGACAGCAGGAAGTACTAAAAGAGAGCACCCAGTTTGCTAGGATCCTACGCAGGGTGCTAAGAATTTTGTGCAGAATGCAAAAGACCAGACACTGGGCAGAGAGGAAGAACTGAGGGCCAGATAAAGGCCACTTTTAGGTTCAAGTGTATAGAGCTTAGGCTCTAGCACTTACTGACTGGATTGCTCAGGGCAGTTGACAAGCTCTGTACCACAGACAACAGTACTTACCATGCACCGTAAGGACTGGCAGGAGATGTACATGCACAGCATCTGAACTTTGAAGCCTGAGGCTTGTCCAGAACATTCCATCCTGGGCAGGAGACAGCTAGTCCTACAGCCCTAGGCCCAGGTGGGTTTGTTGGCCTCCCTGAGCTCCTAAGGTCCTGGGGGTGGGTCATGAGGAAGGGCACATTGCATTACCACGTGCAGTGTTAAAGTGACGTCAACTGCAACAGTGTCACCTCAGAAACTTTTTATTCCCTCCACTCTAGCCAAGGCTTTGCCACACATCAAGAAGGGCAGGGGCTTGCCAGTGGGTGTGAGAACCAGAAGCCCAGATTCAGATAGAGAAGAGGGAGTAGGAAGAGAATGGTGCCCCACTCATGAGTCAGAAGAGGAGAGACAGGGGCAGTCAGTGGCACCAAGATGCAGACCTCACCAAAGGACATTTCTTTTTCTAGAAACCTGTAATTACCCAGACTTGATCTTAACTGTTATCTTGTAAACCCCTACACTCATAGCAAAATTGTTTTGATTTCAAAGCCTTGGGCTTTTGCTGTCCTTGATGACTAGGAAGCAAATCCCAAGGAACCAAGGAAGTATGAATCCAAGCGATGGTCACTGTTGGAGTGGAGTCTCAGGCTGCTTTTTGGTTGTGAACAAATAGAAATTCAGTGGCAAGGGCAGACTGAAGAATATGACAGAGAGTTTTGCGTTCATGTTTCAGTTTCTTAGGGACTTTGTAAGAAAGCACCACAAACTAGGAAACTAAATAGCAGAAATGTTTTCTCTCACAGTCTTGTTGCATCTGGGGCTGAGCACTGATGGGATGAGTAGCTAGCCAGGATCATAAGCTTGGCACTAATTATGAATTAAAGGAACAGAATTTAAGAAAGGAAGATGCTGTATTTGTTGAAAGGAAAAAGCAGAATACAAAAAGCTGCCCTAAAGAAGGAGAACAGGGGTTCTGGAAAGATGGATTCCCATGGACCTTCATCCTTGTCTTATTTTCATCAAATGATAAGGACGCTTCCTCATAGTTGGGACCTGGGACTTGGTACAACCTGATTGTCTGTCTGCACTATCTTTGGAAAAGTCCCAGGCCACAAGGCCCTGACCTGGTCTTCCTTGCCTATGTGTGCATGGAATTCTTTTGGTGGGTTTTATTTGACTTCTTCCTGCCTATTTGTCCTTGTCAGGGGTCTTATCTTTGAGATTTATAGGTTAGCTAAGAGGACTCTTAGAGAAAGACAGTTTAAAGTTAGTGATTAAGGAGATACATGTTATCTAGTACAGCACTAAAGTGACCTCTAGAATTGAAATACTTACATACAGAGATACCTCAGTTCACAAACTTAATTTGGTTCACAAACTTAATCTGTTTCTTGATTCAGGGGAAGATAGCTGTTTTGTGCAGGGAAGATAGCTAGAGCTATGTTTGTCACTGATGCAGAGTTTCAGAGCGGAAGCAAAATTTTGCCAAACTCTTCTATTCAGGAACTGAACAGTTTGTGTTCACAAACTGAGGTATGGCTATGTTTTACATACTAAATGAGAGTTTTCCTTTAAATTAGGTAGCCCCTTCCCCCTTTGTCTTTTCTTTTGCATTTTATTGGAGGTGCGGAGAGGCAGCTATCTTGGTTGGAGCATCTGGCTTCCTCTGTACAGTTTCTCAGCTCTACCTCTGGCTTTTTGTTACATTTTTGTTGTTATTGC